CTTGCACCAGGTCTTAATTGCAGAAGGTGGGCTCCTTAGTTGTGGCATGCAAACTCTCAGTTGCGGCATGCATGTGGGATCTAGTTCCCTGACCAGGGATTGAACCTGGGCCCCCTGCATTGGGGGCATGGAATCGTAGCCACTGTGCCAGCAGGGAAGTCCCCTGGCTACCTCTTCAGTCTGACCACAGGGCTTGCCCCAGAACGAGCCTCAGTTTCTACCTGGAGAGCGAATGACTGAGCAAACGAATGATCTAATGCTCTAGAGTCATTTGCGATGGGCTCACTGAGTTTCCTTCTTCTGTGAACTGGGTCCCTGTTCCGTCCTCAGACCTATTCCCTACTTGCTTGGTCCAGTTTCTAAGAGACTTTCTGGCTTCTCTCCCTAGCACCTGGGTTCTGCAAGGCCTCTGGGAATGGTGGGGTGGGGAGAACTCCTGGGCCTTTCCTCCAGGCCCAGAACCACTCCAGTCTCATTCTTCTCCATCTCCACCCTCTTTTTCTTAACTTCCACAGGAGCAAGGTCAAAATCACGGAAGATCCCTCAGGCATTTTCTCAGGGCTTCTCCTCCTACTCTCATACCAACTGCTGTTCATAAACCCATCAGTCACTGGTGGTAGACAGGTACTGGCCTGAGCACACGGGCTAATGTTATACATTTGTTTATTATCTGATAATCTCCTCCTCCCAACTGTGGGGCAGGGATCATAGTGCTAATCTCACCACCCTTGTATCCCAAGTATCTGGCACTTAATGGACTCAGTAAATATGAACTGAATGAATGGATGACTGAGTGAATGCACTCAAGGTTTCTCTGCTGATCCCAGCAGCTGAGTGCTGTAAGAGCGGGTCCAGGAACGTCCCGCCCCCTCACCCACACCTAAGCGTTCCCCATTTGCTCATCCTCAAGCTTCACTTCGTCTGTTTGACTTTTTTTTAACTTTGTTTTGTTTTGGCCGTGCCAGACGGCATGTGGGAGCTTAGTTCCTCCCTCCACCAGGAATCAAACCCACGCCCTCAACAGTGAAAGTGCAGAGTCCTAACTCCTGGACCGCCAGGGAATTCCCAACAACAAATTTTTTTTTTCATCAATTTGGTAAGAGTTTATTTAGGTTTTCTACTTCTTTGATTTAATTTTGATAAATTGTATATATGTATACACATACATTATATATTTCAGGAAATTGTCCACTTAGACTGTTTACAAATGTATTAACAAAGAACAGTCTGAAGCGCTTTGATTATGGAAAATGTCAAACATGCATAAGGAGAAAAAAGAGTATCATAAACCCATTTCCCATCCCCTAACTTTAGCTTTATCTATACCTCTCCCCACTTCTGCCTCTCATGTATTATTTTGAGACAAACTCCAGAGATATCATTTCACATGTAAATAGTTCCATATGTACTGTTAAAGACGACTTTAAAAAATAGCCTCATATTAGCACACCAAATGAATAATTTCCTAATATAAAATACCAGTGTTCAGACTTCTAATCATCTCTTAATGTTCCCACCCTTTTGTAGTTTGTTTGAGTCCAAACTCACTCATTTGACTTACATTTTTTAATCTGTAGTTTCCCCTGCTGGTTTTCTTTTTCCCTTTGTAATTTATTTATTGAGGAAATGCTCATTTTTTTTTCTTTTGTTCAGCAAGTCTTCTTCATAGTTTGTCTTATAATGGTTTCTAATCTCAGCTATAGTTGATTTATGACCTTTTCCACTTCTAACATAGTTTATGTCTTTTTTTTTCTAGGTCGATCTTGCCAGAGGTATGTCTATTGTTATTATTTTTTTTAAACAAAGGACCAGCTTTAGCTTTTCCAACAACACATTTTTAAAGTAACAGCTTTATCAAGATATTCATATACTAACAATTTAATTATTTAAAGTGTACAATTCGATGGTTTTTTTTTTTTTTTTTTTTTTTGCGGTACGCGGGCCTGTTGTGGCCTCTCCCGTTGCGGAGCACAGGCTCTGGACGCGCAGTCTCAGTGGCCATGGCTCACGGGCCCAGCCGCTCCGTGGCATGTGGGATCTTCCCGGACCGGGGCACGAACCCGTGTCCCCTGCATCGGCAGGCGGACTCTCAACCACTGCGCCACCAGGGAAGCCCCAATTCAATGTTTTTTAATATCTGAAGAGGGCAACCATCACTCCAATCAATTATAGAACATTTTCATCATCCTAAAAGACACCCTTTGCCCCTTCCCCCGCAGTCGTTAGCAGTCCCTCCCCATGTCTTCATTTCTCCCTAACCCCTAAGCACTAGGCAACTACTCTCTACTTTCTGTCTCTATGGATTTGCCTATTATGGACATTTCATGTAAATGGAATTACACACTACTGTATGTGGCCTTTTGTGACTGACTTTTATTTAGCATATGTTTCATGGTTCATCCATGTCGTAGCATGTACCCAGTACTTCAATCCTTTTTATTGTCGAATAAGATTTCATTGTATGGATATACTATATTTTATTTATCCTTTCATCAGTTGATGGACATTTGAGTAGTTTCTACTTTTTGGCTGTTATGAATAATACTGCTTTGAATATTCGTGTACAAGAGTTTTCATTTTCTTTTTAATTAAAAATTTTTAATTAATTAATTAATTTATTCACCTATTTATTTGGCTGTGTTGGGTCTTTGTTGCTGCACACGGGCTTTCTCTAGTTGCGGCGAGCGGGGGCTACTCCTCGTTGCAGTGCGCGGGGCTTCTCATTGCAGTGGCTTCTCTTGTTGTGGAGCACAGGCTGTAGGTGTGCGGACTTCAGTAGTTGTGGCACGCAAGCTCAGTAGTTGTGGCACACGGGCTTAGTTGCTCTGAGGCATGTGGGATCTTCCCCCACCAGGGCTCGAACCCGTGTCCCCTGCGTTGGCAGGCAGATTCTTAACCACTGCGCCACCAGGGAAGTCCAAGTGTTTTTAAATTGAGGGTGAAATTCACATAACATAAAACTAAACATTTTAAATAAACAATTCAGTGGTATTTAGTACATTCATATGTTGTGCAACCACCACCTCTAATTCCAAAACATTTCATCACTCTAAAATAAAACCCCATGACCATTAAGCGGTTACTTCCCATTCCCCTCCCTTTTAGCACCTGGTGACCACCAGCCTGCTTTTTTTTTTTTTTTTTTTTTTTTTT